AACAACATGCTCTAACATGACCAATGGGTCAATAAAGCAATTAAAACAAAGTTAAAAAATTTCTTGAGAGAAATGAAAATGGGAATACAGGCCGGGCATGGTGGCTCAAGCCTGTAATGCCAGCACTTTGGGAGGCCGAGGCAGATGGATCACCTAAGGTCAGGAGTTCAAGACCAGCCTGCCCAACATGGTGAATACAACATATCAAAACTTGGGACATAGCTAACACAGTTCTAAAAGGGAATTTTAATAGTAATAAATGTCTACATCGAAAAAGAAGGATCACAAATTAAAAACCTAACAATACACCAAAGGAATTAAAAATTTAAGAACCCAAGTAAACCTATAACTAGTAAAAGTAAAGAAATAATAAAGAGTACAAATAAATGAAACAGCCCAGGTACAGTAAGTAGCTCATGCTATAAACCTAGTACTTTTAGGGAGGCCAAATCGGGAGGATCACTTGAAGCCAGGAGTTTGTACCAGCCTGAGCAACAAAGCAAGACCCATCTCTAGAAATAAAATTAAGATTAGCCAGGTGTAGTTGCAGGCACCAGTAGTCCCAGCCACTTGGGAGGCTGAAGCAGGAAGATCATGTGAGCTCAGGAGTTTGAGGCTACAATGAGTTACAATTGCATTACAGTAGTCCAGCTTAGGCAACAGAGCGAGATCCTATCACAAGAAAAAAAGAAGATAAAGAAAAGAGAAGAGAAAAAAGAGGACAGGCTTGGTGGTTCACACCTGTAATCCCAGCACTTTGGGAGGTCAAGGAGGGAGGATTGCTTGAGGCCAGGAAAGACCAGCCTGGGCAACATAGTGAGACTCCATCTCTATAAAGAAATTAAAAAATTAGCCAGATGTGGTGGCATCTACCTGTAGTCCCAGATACTCAGTGGGGCTGAGGCAGGAGGATAACCTGAGCCCAGGAGGTGGGAGCTGCAGTAAGCCATGGTTGTGCCACTGCACTGTAGCCTGGGGGACAGAGCAGGATCCTGTTTCAAAAAAAGAAAAGGAAAGAAAAGAAAAGAGAGACTTAAAGTAACAAAACAGATCAATGAAACCAAGAGTTATTAAAAAAAAAAAAAAAAAAAAAAAAAAGATAAAATTGAGATGACTTTAGCTGGCCTAAGAAAAAAATAGAAAACACTCAAATAAAATTAGATACAAAAAAAGATATATTACAACTGATGCCATATAAATAAAAAGCATCACAAGACAGTATCAGAAACAATTTTATGCCAGAAAATCAAGATAACCTGTAAAAAATGGATAAATTCATGGACATATACAACCTTCCAAGATTAAAGAATGAAGAAATAGAAAATCTGAACAGACCAATAGTGAGTAATGAGATCGACACAGTAATAAAAATCTCCCATCAAAGAAAGGCCCAGGACCTGATGGCTTCACTGCTGAATTGTACCAAACATTTAAAGAATGAATACCAATTTTCCTCAAACTAGTCAACACAATTGAAGAGGAGGCAATATTTCTAAACTCATTCTATGAGGACAGTATTTCCCTGATACCAAAGCCAAGCAAGGACATAATTTAAAAAGAATAGCCCTGTTGAACACAAATGCAAACATCATCAACAAAATACTAGCAAACAGAATTCAATAGCAGATTAAAAAGATTATTCACTATGATCAAGTGGAATTCATCCCAGGAATGCAAGAATGGCTCAACACATGCCAATCAATAAATGTGACACAGAACACTAATGGAATGAAGGACAAAAACCATATGATCATTTCAATAGATGAAGAAAAGGCATTTGACAAAATTCAATATCCCTTAATGATAAAAAACAACACATTGTGTATAGAAAGTATTTACCTCACTAAAAATAAAAGCCACATATGACAAACCCACAGCTAACACCATATTGAACAGGGAAATGTTGGAAGTTTTTCCCTTAAGATCTGGAACAAGACAACAATGCCTACTTTTACCACTTCTATTCTACTTAGTATTTGAATTTCTAGCCACAGCAATTAGACAAGAGAAAGAAATGAAAGTTATCCAAACTGGAAATGAGAAAGTTAAACTATCCCTTGTTGCAGATGACATGAGTGTATACAGTTGGCCCTGGAACAATACCAAGGTTAGAAGTGTCAAACTCAGCCAGGTGCGGTGGCTCATGTCTGTAATCCCAGCACTTTGGGAGGTCAAGGCAAGGGGATCACGAGGTCAGGAGATTGAGACCATCCTGGCCAACATGGTGAAACCCCATCTCTACTAAAAATACAAAAATTAGCTGGGCATGGTGGTACATGCCTATAATCCTAGCTACTTGGGAGGTTGAGGCAGAAGAATCACTTGAACCAGGGAGTTGGATGCTGCAGTGAGCTGAGATGTCACCACTGCACTCCAGTCTGGCGGCAGAGCGAGACTCTGTCTCAAAAAATAATAAATAAATAAAAATAAAAATAATAAAATAATAATAAAGACTTGTCAACCCTTGCACATTGGAAAATCAATGCATAAGTTCTTACTGACCAAAAATTCAACTACTAGTAGCCAACTGTTGACTAGATGCCTGATCAATAACATAAATCATTGATTAACACCTATTTTGTATGTTATATGTATTATATACTGTATTCTTATAAGTTAAGCTAAAGGAAAGAAAATATTATTAAGAAAATTGTAAGAAAGAGAAAATATATCTACTATTAATTAAGTGGACGTGGATCATCATAAACATCTACATCTTTGTCATCTTCATGTTGAGTAGACAGAAGAAGAAGAAGAAGGGTTGGTCTTGTTGCCTCAGTGGTTGCAAAGGTGGAAGAAAATCCACATAAAAATACTTTTGAAATCTGTGTTGTTTAAGGGTCCACTGTATATAGAAAACCCAAAGATTCCACCAAAAAACTGCTAGAGCTAATAAACAAATTCAGTAAATTTGCAACATACAAAAATCAGCAGCATTTTTACACATCAATAGTAAACTATCTGAAAAAGAAATAAAGAAAACAATCCCATCTACAATTGTTACAAAAAATATATACTTAGGAATAAATCTAACCAAGCAGGTGAAAGACCTTCACACTGAAAATTATAAAACATTGATGAAAGAAATCGAAGATGACACAAATAAACAGAAGGATATCCCATCTTCATGGACTAGAAGAATTAATATTGTTAAAGTGTCTATACTACCAAAGCAATCTACAGATTCAGTGTAATCTCTAAGAAAATACCAATGACACTCTTCACAGAAATAGAAAAAAGAATCCTAAAATTCATATGGAACCACAAAAGATCCTGAACAGCTGATGCAATCTTGTGCCAAAAAAAAAAAAAAAAAAAGAAAGACAGCTGGAGATATCACACTATCTGACTTCAAAATGTACTACAAAGCCATAGTAACCAAAAGCATGATACTAATCTAAAAAAAGACACATAGACCAATGGAATAGAAAAGAGAGCCCAGAAAAAACAAATGCATATACACACAAAGGTGTGAAGAACAAACGTTGGGGAAAATACAATCTTCCGTAAATGGTGCTGGAAAAAAATGGATACCCATATGCAGAAGAATGAAACTAGATTCCTATCTCTCGCCACATACAAAAATCAACTCAAAATGGATTAGAAACTTAAATGAAAGACCCAAAGCTATGAAACTACTAGAAGAAAACAGGGAAATACTCCATAATATTGGAGTGGGCAATAATTTTTTGGCTATGACTCTAAAAGCACAGGTAACAAAAGCAGAAGTAGACAAATGGGATTATATCAAACTGAAAAGCTTCTGTTTCACAGTAAAGGAAACAATCAACAAGGTGAAGTCAGTCGAAATGTAAATTTGTACATTCATTATGAAAAACAGCATGGGGTTCCTAAAAAAAGTAAAAATAGAACTGTCCTATGATATAGCTAGCAATCCCACTACTTGGTATATATCCAAAGAAAATGAAGTCATTGTGTTAAAGAGATATGTGCACTCCCATATTTATTGCAGCACTATTCACAAAAGCCAAGATACTAAATCAACCTAAGTGTCCATAAATGGATGGATTGAGAAGGAAAATGTGGTAAGTATATATGAGGAAATACTATTTTAGCAACAAAAAAGAAAGCAATGCTGTCATTCACAGCAACACAGATGAGAACATTATGTTAACTGAAATAAGCCAGACACAGAAAGACAAATACAGCATAATTACTCTGTATTCCATATGTAGTACGACTATCATGTCAATTAAAATTCAAACTGTAATAATAGCAAAAAAATAAAATGTACACTCAACTAACAGGAAATAGAAGAGAAAATCCTAAAACATGAAAAAGAAAATTTGTGAAAAACCTACAGCTAACATCAACGCTCAATAGTGAAAGACTAAAAGCTTTACCCCTAAAATCAGGAACAAGACACAGATGCCTCCTTTCACTACTTTTACTCAACATTGTACTGGAAGCTCTAGCCAGGACAATTAGGCAAGGAAAGAAAAGACATCCAAATTGCAAAGGAAGAAATAAAACTCTCTATTCAGAGATGACACAATCTTATATTTATAAAATCATAAAGAATCCACAAAATAAGCTATTAGAGCTAATAAATTTATTTAGTTCTGTTTTGTACTCTTTGTGAGTGCTTCAGCCTGCAGAAGCTTTGGAAAAATATAGAAAACATTACCAGCACTCTCTTGGTTTCCCTCATTTTTCTTTTCTTTGTTGGGGAAGGGACAAAAAATGTAGAAGATACAAAGGAAGAGTAAATGAATCAAACTTTATCTTGACTGTTTGTATTTCTATAAATCAACTATTATTTCTTATTTATTTCCCTAAGCAGGCAACAGCAAAGCCCTGAAAACCAATAGGAGTTGGGCTCTTGTTTTCAGAGGCAGCAAAAAATGGCTGATATGAGGACAGAATGTCCTACTCCATAGCCAGGCTTGTACAGATGGTGGCAGCTATCCAAGGAGAAGCAAGGAGGCCGAAACCCTAGGACTTGCTATACGAAAGGACGGAAAAATTTAAGAACTTACTGAATGTTGTAGGGCACAGTACTGGGATTGAGTACCCCATACATAGTGAAGCCTTTATAGAGAGGGTTCCTGAAGTCTGATTTCCTCTGAACCAAGAAAGGCCATAAAGAATGTGTTTTCTCATAGATTCTGTTAGAAAAGAAAAACAAGCCAAAAAATTAAAAGCAGCAAGCAAGCAATCTCAATAGTCCTGTTGAACATGATAAGCAGTAAATTTTACTAATAAGTAACCCAACAAAGGAGGACAGGATATGACAGAAGAAAAATAAGTGGCTAATAAGTGTTGATGGAGTAACAACTTATCTGGGCTTCAATTTATCCATCTTTAAAATAAATCAGAGATTAGAAAGAGTTCCATACTGGAGAACAGGATTCTAAGTCCAGTTTCGGTTGTGGAATAGCTGTGTGATTTTAAGAAAATCTCGAGCTTTCTCTGAGCCTGTTTCCTCATCGTTAAATGTGACCTCTAAGTTATATTCCAAATCAAGGATTTTATGAACTAATGACTTTTCTGGTTTTAAAAATTTTTAAATTGCTTTTGAAAATCTGCTAAGTTAAGAGATAGGTCCTATGGAGTGAATTTCTGGCTCTTCTATATTTCATTTTATTTAAAGCCAGCTTCTCCTGCCTTCAGAAGGTTTAAGACAGTGACAGAGAATTGGAAATTTATAATAGAAAATATCCGTGAGTTCTCCCAGGTGGGCAACTAAAGATTATGGCATTTATATTACAAAACTAATTCTTATTGGGTTGAGACCATGGGGAGCCTACTCAACCAGCAAGCAAGTCCCTTAGTTAACACCTCAAAATACATGGGATCCACTGGTTCCCCATGTGAGCTGCTGTATAACCATTCATGAGAAGGTCATTTGCACACACATCATGTCAAAGAAAGCTAAAGGAGAACTGAAGAGTGGTATAAGTAGTTAGACCTAAAATTATTGTCCTGTAACTTATACAATTGTCAGAGTATTTCAGTGAGGCCAAAGGCCCTGTATATCTGTCTTTCTCATCTGCTATTGGTTTATAACATGAAAAAAAAAAATACTGCACTGGTAAGGTAACTAATTTGTTGAGTATTTACTACGTGTTCAAACACTATTCCAGACCCGTTACCTAAAATACCTCCTTAAATTTTCCCAATAAAACCTTGTGAGATATTTTAGCCCAAAATTACTAATGAGAAAATGAGACTAAATATTAATTTGCTCAAGGTCACATAGCTAGTAGGTGACAGAGCCAAAGTTTGAACCCAAGTCTGCCTGACTCTAAAACCCATGCTTTTCCATTCGTGAATAAATGACACTTCTGCTTATTTTAAGTAGTTACTACTTTAAAATATGTTAAAATGTTCAACTGTTGTTTTTAAATGAATATTCATATTTATATGAAAAATATTACATATATTGACCCGATTTTAAGAGAAGGAAAAATATTATGGAAAAGATCCTGAGTTTTAATGCCTAGGGAAATAACTTAAAGACATAATGAATATCTTAAAAGTACTTGGGGAGAAAGTGACAAAGGTCTAGTTGTAAACAGAGAGAGAGAAACATGCGTGGCAACAAGAGAGAAACTACCAAGTAAGTACAAATGTTAAAACAGAAAGACTCATTATTGCTCTCTATGTTGACAGGAAAACTAAATCACAGAGAAGTAATCTCATCCTGGCTATGCTAGAAAGGGGCCTGAGAGTTGGGCTAACTGCTAACTCAGCCAACAGCTGTGAAATAGGAGTGAGTTGTAAAACAGCTACTTTCCTATTTCTTTTACTGTCTCTAAAATAAGGAAAATACTGTTCATAGCTCCATCTTGTCAATTTCAAAAAGTACTTATGTCACATATATTGTGAGGATGTTAGTTTAAATAAAGGGTGCAAACTCAACTACCTACTAGAACTAGGAAGATAACATTAGAAATGGGCTAAGAATAAACTATAGAGAATGGTAAGAACTGCAGTCAACAAGAGTAAGTTTGCCTCATCCAAATGGAACAGCTACTATTCAGCTCTAACTTATTATTATCATGAGAAAATACAATCTAGTGTTGCCAGAGCTCCTGAGTTTTCAGAATATTTAGGAAAAACATCCTAAAATAATTTAATGTGAAATCTCCTGATATTTAAATGTTGGCAACTAGGGATAAGAATGACACAATGCACTTTGGGGACTCAGGGGGAATGGGTGGAAAGGGGGTGAGGGATAAAAGACTACGAATTGGGTTCACTGTTCTGGAGATGAGTGTACCAAAGTCTCACAAATCACCACTGAAGAACTTACTCATGTAACCAAATACCATCTGTTCCCCAAAAACTTATAGAAATAAACAAAAATGTTGGCAACTAATTAGGAGTTTTTAAAAAATACTCCACACACTAAACAAACCATGCCTGTTGGGTTGGGTTCGGCCTATGAGCTGCTAGTTTGTGATCTCTGATATGAGTGAGAAGTAGATAATGACTACTCATACCGGCAAAGCAATTAATTATCTGCAAAGGCTTTGTACATCCATTATTTTATTGGCTCTCCATGATTGCTCTAAAAATTAGGCATTATTATCCCTATTTTACAGATAAGAAATCTCATGGTTCTGAAAGATCTCTGTGCAAACACTGAGTGCTTTCTGCTTCAAAAGTTTTTTTTATTATTGTTATCTCCTCCCCTTTTCTTGACTACTCTGCCAAATTCAGGGTGGTAGGTACCTTCTTTTTGCACTGACCCCCTTCTGCCTATTTAGTGTTTTCTCACAAAATAAATTCACCTTAGATCTTCCCGATCCTTCTGGCAGTTTCCAAGGAAGTTTCCAAACTGGCAGGAGAAAACATGGTCATGGATCTCCAGCAGGAAGTTTTCATTAAACTCAAAGGCACAAGGAAACTGTTCCATTAATTGCCAAATACAGTCTAGGAACTGGGTGAAGACAGGGGACACTTCTTTAGAGTCTCCATCGAAGTGGCCACACCTGAGAGATGCAAATAAAGGTAAAGAAAGACACTAGTTAGCATCAAGGATTACACTGTTGGGAGTAGGCCATAACAAGGTCATCTTTTGTCCCTGTTGGCAGTGGCAAGGAAATACCTCATACCAAAATGCCAGCCAGAATCTCAAAGCTAGTTAATTCCAGCAGACCTCTTAGCTACTGGTGTCCTTTACTATCATCCAGGCTATAAGCCCTTTGGTCATCTCGTCTATTTTCTTTTACACCCTCTTTCCAATAGAACTTTCTGCAATGATGGAAAATTTCTACAGTTGTGCTGTCCAATATAGCAGCCGCTAACTGTTAAGCATTTGAAATGTGGATAGTGTGGCTGACTGACTTTTTAATTGTATTTAATTTTAATTTAATTTAAATAGCAACATTTAGTTCTGTGTGAGCAATGACCTCATCTATATTGTTTACTGCATAGTGCCTGGCAAAAAATAGGTATTTAAGAAACCCCCTTTATTAAGTGCATAAATGAAACCTCATCCCAGAACTGTTTAATGTTTCCTCCCCATAATGCTCTCTTTACCAACCCTATCATCCACTGGAAACACTATTCCACTGGAAACCAACACGGCACCCTCAGTTTCTACACTGCAGGTTCTCTACCTTCTGATATAATTACAGCATGGCTCACAAGGATACCACCTTTCCTTGGGGTCAAAATAAAATGAAGAATGCTGATCATTCCACTTTCCACATACCGTAATACTAAAACAAAGCAGAGGTGGGTTTAGCTTTCTCCTTGCACCTACTGCTGCTTCTAAGCTACTATTATTTTTATGACCTTAAAAACACTTCCTTTATGCGGCATGCTATTAGCTTATTTACCTTCTCTTTCCTCAATGATGTCTTCTAGAACCTCTGAGTCACTTGCCTACATTCTCTGAACAATCTGATGGTCTTAAGCTTTGGTGTTGATGTAGGTGACTTACATTAGCTCAACAGATTCCTTAACTAACACAAATCAAATTACCTTCACTGATCTTTACCTCTACTCCGCCCTTTTGAATCCACTGGCCACAGGCTGGCTAGTAGTTTTTACTCCATCTTTGAAATCTTAATCACAGTATCCCATTCTGAACACCATATATTATATTCTCAAAAGCTGCTCATCTTCTTAACTCCTTCAGGCCTCATTTCAGGATATCTCCACATGCCAGATTCCTACTGGTTTCTCTTTTTCCTTATCAAGCCTAAATTCCATGATCTGCCCTATTAACTACTCTTTCCCGATTTTTTTCAACTTTCTGGTCTTTCTTGTCATTATTTTCCTTCTAAATACAACCACAGATCAGCCTGAAAAGCTATGTTCTCTGCTTCTAATAATCCTAATAATGCTCAAGAATATTATAAAATCATACAATTCATACCATTCAAAATTAGACTCCATATTCAACTGTGTCTTAACTGCTCTCAAATAATCTTCATGCAGCTTCTTAACACCATTTTCTCATTACCTTTACAGCTCTTACAAATTTTAAACTACCTTTCTCAAACCCCAAATCCATTTCATATCTTCCTTCATTCTAGCGTCACTGAAAAATATCAAGGCCATTAAGTAGAAAAAAGAAGTCTAACTTCTGCCTCTAATAAGCACATATAGCACCTTCTCTGCCTGCCTTTCCACCTAATCTCCATGGAAAAGCTGTTCTTCATTTTAGCTCAAGCTAATCTTTCATTTGGTATTTTCACCCATTTGCCCGGAAGGCTTACTCTACCAAAAACCCACTGTTTCTTTCATATCTTCAACCTTATCACCTTATCTTCTTTAATGTTTCTTTCTTCTCAGCATAAGAAACTGCTCAAATCTCCTGTCTTGCAATACACTTCCTCAAACCCACATCCCACCCATTCTCTTCTACCCACTTCAGAGCCAAGGTTCTTTGAAAGAGATTTATATACTCACCTTCCACTTCCTCAGCCCTCACTCATGCCTCCATTCACAACCATTTGGCTTCTGCTTTCGCCACTTTACTCAACCAGTTATCACTAAAGATCATTAAAACCTGCATATTGCCAAAGTCGATTCTTGGGTTATTCTGAGGCATATGACACTGCAGTCTACTCTCTTGAGATTCTCCTTTCTTATGTTTTTTCTTTCCTACCCTTAGATTTATTCTTACCTCACTAACCACTCTTTCACAGCAACCTTCATGAACTTCTTTCTTCACTAGACTTTCAGGTGTCAGTATTATCCAAGGCTGTGTGCCATCTCTTGGCTCTTCTTCCTCTATATACAATTTTTTGAGTTACCTTATCTGAATCCATGGTTTAAGCCACCAATTATAAGCAGGTAACTCCCTCTATACCACCTCTCTATCCAATCCAGAACTAGTGAGCTCCAGATTACTACTGAATAGTCTCCCTACTGGATATCTTCTCTTGGATGCCCCATGCCAAATAAGTCCCAAACTGAAGCCAACTTTCCCCCAAAACCTGCCCTGTATTATCCTGTATCCTCTTTCTCAATAAACCCAGTTACCTACAGCAGAAACCTTTGGGTTTTGCTAGACTTTTTCTCCCATCTTCTGGTGAGTCCTACTTCCTGAATACCTTTGTATCTATCCCATTGCATCTGTCTTTTTTCAGAACTTCATCAATTCTGAGAGCCTACTAATTCAGACCTTTGTCACCAATTTCAATCTTCCACATGCTGTCACAGAGATATTTGTAAAATATAGATCTGAACATCATGTCACTGCCTTGTTCAAAGTCCTCCAATATAACTTGACTATGTACACAAAAAAAATCTTTTAGCTTTGAAAAAAAAAAAAACAACAAAAAACAGGGCTTTATATGATCTTCTCCTCACTGGCTCGACTTCCCTGGCCTCATTTCCTCTATTCTCCCTACACATCCTTTGACCCAGCCACACTGAATTGCTTGCAGTTCCTCAGATAAATGATCCTGTTTAATGTCTTTATGGTTTCAAACACATCAGTGCTAGAATACTTTCTCCCTTTCTAAATAACATCTACTCATACTTTAAACCTCAGTTAAAATGTCACCTATACCAGGAAGGCTTCTTTGCCCCAGAATGGGTAAAGTTCCTTTGTTTATGTTTTCCTCTGTCTTACGCACTTATCATACTACACTGTCATCACTGATTTTTCTTTTCTTTAATCGAAGAGATAGGAACTATATCTTATTAAACTCAGTTTCCTCAATAATGACTGCTCCAATGTTTGTGGGTGAAGGAAAAATAAATAAATAGACCCAAATGGCTACAGAGTGGAAACCAAATGAAATTAAATTAATGCATATCAATGGGGTTAAATAAGACCTGAATTATAATCTCTTTAGGGTAAAACTCAATTTCTTATTTTTTTTTTTTTTTGAGACGGAGTTTCACTCTTGTCACCCAGGCTATAGTTCAATGGCGTGGTCTCAGCTCACTGCAACCTCTGCCTCCCAGGCTCAAGCAATTCACCTACCTCAGCCTCCTGAGGAGCTGGGATTATGGACGCCTGCCACCATGCCTGGCTAATTTTTGTATTATTAGTAGAGACGAGGTTTTACCATGTTGGCCAGGCTGGTCTGAAACTCCTGACCTCAGGCAATTCATCCATGTTAGCACCCCAAAGTTCTGGGATTACAGGTGTGAGCCACTGCGTCTGGCCAAAACTTAAATTTTATTTGTCTTTGGAATCAGCTTAGTGTCTGATATAACATACAGCACATTGTTAGGCATTTGTCAGATATTTATTGATTGTCCTGATAAGATAGGTAAAGCCTTAGTGAGGCTGTTTGGTTTATAGCAGATAACAGATAAATATAATCCCTTGTCCTCACTCCTTAAAAAAGAACAAATCTCTAACTGTCTTTTCTCTTACAAAAGGTTGAAAGGTGCATTGTCTTGATATTAGTCCCTCTACCTGAATGACCTCTTCATTCCCTTGTTCTTCCTACTAAATTTCTATTCATTTCCAAAAATTCATCCTTAAATGCTATATACTCCTGGAAGCCTACCCTGACCTCTTCATGCAAAGTTAAGCACTTTTCCTTCTGTAGCCTGTGATGCCTTGTTCTTCCTTGAAATATTTAAGAATCTGATATAATTACTTGTACTCCTTGAAAGCAGACATAGTATTCTGCTTACCTGTGTCACATTAGTGCACTAGCATATTATCTAGAACACTTGTTTCTTGATGAAAAGAGATTTAAGCCACGTTCAACCTCCTGTTGTTTTCTCTACATGTACATTCTGGGGTTTTGATATACTTCACCCTAATGAATTATCCTCAGCCCCTTCCATCAAAATGAGTATATTTTTACCTTTGGGAAAACTTGTGGCCCATGGATATCCATTCCTTCTCTATCAAGATCTTCATTTTATACAAAAGAAAGAGTTCGTATTAGGAAAATCATAAAATGAATTAACCATACATACAAGAATGTCAAAACACTTTGCTGAATGATTGAACCGATCATAAAAAAGTTATTTCCTAAATGATAATGAAGTAAGTAACTTAGATTTCATTCATAGGCCTATACAGGGTGCCTTCAGATTTCAGATGCTCTCAGATATATCCAGAGTCAAATTTCCTTTGGCTTTCACATGATGTGTGACAAGCCACTGAGCCAGAACTAAATGTAATCCTGATAAGCATGATATTAAACTCAACCTTTGAAAAACAGAAATCCAAAGGCAGCTCTTAGCTTTATACCAGTAACAAAACCATTTTTAACCATTTTTTAAAAAATCCCAGCCAGGCATGCACTTCAGCAGGCCATGGAGGGCAGATCAAATGAGGCCAGGAGCTCAAGACCAGTCTGGCCAACATGGTGAAACCAGCTCTGTACCAAAAATACAAAAATTAGCCGAGCATGGTAGTGTACGTCTGCAATCCCAGCTACTTGGGAGGCTATGACATAAGAATCACTTGAACCCAGGAGGTGGAGGTTGCAGTGAGCCAAGATCGCACCACTGCAATCCAGCCTGGGCGGCAGACCAACGCTCCATCTCAAAAAAAAAAAAAAAAAAAAAAGATTTCCAAAAAATGAGAAAAAACCACTATGGTGAGTTCTGTTTCTCAGAAAGATCAACTAAGAGGCCTTGGATTCAGATTCAGCACTAGAAAACAGTCATGAGTCAAGACATTCAAACAGCTGACATGTTAAAAATGATGAGCCCTTTGGACATCCTATTAAATAGTCATCCATTCAGTTTTGCAAACTTTTTGAGCTTTTCCTACTCTGTACAGTAGCCTATTACATAAAATTTACCTTCTGATAGGTAAGAAATATGTTGAACATACAAAAGAAAGTATACAGATAGTACATACCTAAATTTAAAGAAAAGAAGCTAAATTGGAAAAAAAAAAAAAAAAGCTATTTTTTTAGATGTAGAGCTAAATCTGGACAAAAAAAAAAATGTTTGAGAATTTTATTTTGTCGCAATCTACCACTTACACAAAGTAAAATATAGTAGCGTGCTCTCTTACCATAAGTCCTTTGAATGTCCTATAAAATGGATCTAGGAGGATGCTGGCCACCGAGCAGACTTGTGCTGTGCGGTCCCACCCATCAGAACAATGGACTAAGACACTGGCCTTTTCTACCTTTACTGCCTGTGAAAACAAGACGCAAATGTACCATAAGCAACACTTGCATAGCTTGTTGGGTTAAATAGTTACCAAATACAGCCCCTAAAGCACAGAGAACCTGGTCTTACTGGGCTACATTAATTTTTTTCTCATAATGTTAGCATCCTCTATGGGGAATGAAAAGGAAAATAATGGACTGAAAGAGAAGGAAAGCTTACCAAATAGGAAAAAAGTATCAAAACTAACCCATAACACATGGCAAAAAGAAAGACGAGGAGAGTTCTAAATTCACAAAACTTCTGAAGAAAACAAGGATCAATTCTCAGAGAAACAGGTAAATAGGAGGAAGAATTCACACTCAAAAACACAGACAGCTCTGCATTCTAGTCCCAGATCCGACAACAATCTCCTCTAGCTGTTTTAGTCTTACTAACACAAATGCTTCCAAATTAAGATGGAGGTGCTTGCCTGTCTTAGGTCGCTTTAAAAAGCGATTGCATAAATACAATCAGAATGATGTAAAAATTTGGGCAGTTATTCAACGTGAGAAATTTTGGCAATGGTACATATTGGTCATTCACTTATTCATTCTAACACTTTTGTACCTCTATTAGGCAGGTATTAGAAATACAAAGATAAGACTCAGTTTCTGCTTTCAAGGAACCCACAAACTAGTCAGGGTGACCAAAGATAAATAAATAATTAAAACACAATGGAAAAATTACTGCTAACGTAAAGTAATTTGTAGTAATGATATTTTGCAGGAGCCAGGGAAGCCTGACCCTTGAAGAAAGAGTAGGATTTCCTGAGGTGAAAAAAGACATTAATTCACTCCTTCATTCACCCACACGCCTAGCCAATAATTACTGAGCAACTGTACAAGAGGCACTATGATGTACACTGGGAATACAAAAGAGACAAACACTTAAATGCATGACTACAATCCAGGTGTAACAAAGGCACAAAAGATAACCAAGGAGGAGGAGACAACTAAAGTAGGTCTTGAAAGATGAATAGAAATTTACCGAATTGACCAGAAGGAAAGGAGAATCCAGGCAGGGGAATGATGTAATAGCATGTACATTGCAAGGAGGGATGGCATAGAGCCTTAATGGCCCAGGCTAGGCTGGAAGTGAGGGAATAAGGAGAGAGAGAGAAGGCTAGGAGGGTGAGGGACAGACCAATCAAGTATACATTTTATTTTATGGCAACAGGGAGTTGAAGGCAGAGAAGTGCCATGATCAGATGTATATCTTTGAAAGACGGCTGTGGTGGCAGCAAAGAGAATGGACTGAGAGTACATGAGTTTGGTTGCAGGAAAACCAGTTAGGGAGCTACTAAAATCGTGAAAGTCCATATAGGCCTGAGGTAAGGTAGTAGCAGTGGGCCTGAAAAGCAGAAGAGGGATTTTAAGTATGAACATTTTAACAGGACAGTGAGAGACTAGACATGGGATAAAGGAGAAGGAAAATTCAAGGATAACTCTGAAATATGTGGTTTAGCAACCAGGTGGAAGGTAGTGACATTAGACTAAATAATAAACACAAAAGCAAGTTTTAGGTAGTAGTGGGGGTACGTAAGATTTCTGTTTTGGCCATGATGAGTTTGAGGTAGTTCAGGGACATCTATTGGAAAGTCCAGCAGGACAATTGGATATGTGGCTTTGAAGTACAGGAAAGGGAAAGATCTAAGCCAGAGTATAGATTTCACCACTATCTGAATAGAGATATAGTATACACTGTGTGCATAGTTGACGCTGTCCAGGCAGAGACCAAATGTGACAAAAGAAAAGACCTTAAAAAGCAATGACTCCTATAATAATCCACCTTCCAGTAGAGGAAGGTGGATTATTACAGGAGTCAGACTGTTTAAAAAAAAAAAAAAAAAAAGCCTAAAAGGTAGAAAGCCAGGAGGGAGTAGTTGGATAAAAGTCAGAACTACAAAAAGGGTTCAAAGTGAAAAGGAGTGAACAGTGCCAAATGCAGCAGAGAAGTTAAAATAGAGTGAAGACTAAAAAGTGACTCTTAGATTTTACAAGTCAAAGGTCATAAGACCTCTGCAAGAACAACAATAATTGTATGAAAATAGGATCACAGAGGACTGAAAGGTGAAGGGAGATGAATTACTAATAGGAGAAATCAACTACTTTTCAGAAGGCTCTAACCAAGAGGAAAGGGGGCAGTAACTAGAAGAAGATTGAAAAAGTACTTTTTCTTTAGGAATCAGAAAATATTTGAGCATAGTACTGAAGGAAGAAGCCAGTTGAAAAGAACACATTGAAAATGCAGAACAAAGAGGATTAACTGATAGAGTTGGTTCCTTAAAGTAGGAAGAGATGGAATTTCGAATATAGGTAGAGTAAGTATCCTTATACAGAAGATGGAGCACCATATCCTCTGAGATAGCAAAGAAGTTGGTAAGGATAATAGTGAGAAGAAGAGGTGTCATATACATTTTTTCATAAAGAAGGACACGTTTCAATATGTGCTTATAGAGAGGGGCGTTACCATGGTGTAGCCAGTTTGAAAGCAAGGCACAAGGAATATCTGCCTGGTGAAACAGGACTGGGAGCCAACCAGGTACACATAAAATAACTGTTCTGTGGCCCTTTGATTACAGAACCGCAGCTATGACTACAAGGCATAAATCTGTGATAGTACCAACTAACATGTCTATGGGATTTATTTATTTGCAGCAATGCTTAGAGGTCAGGTTGTAAGAGCAAAGAATGACTGTGGCTAGCAGGGCAGGTAGAGTGGAAGGATAAGGACAAGGTAGAATGGATGAAGTGCTACACCACCAGGTCTTGGTATACAGGGGAGAAAGAATAAGTTTGGGAAAAGAGGAGTTAAAAGTGCAGAGGTTTCCAAGATAGAGAAGAACTATGCTAGCTGGATTAAAGATGCGAAAGTTGGAATTATAAAAGTTCAAAGAACTAGTAAGTACAGAATGTTTGATAAGTTGTACGTTGACATTCAAATTTCTTCAGATGAGGGGAAGAACCAGGACAGAAAAGGCGGCAAGGCTGTTCCCAACATCCTTAATGAAAGAGGAAGAGTAACTAGGAAGTGTAGAGGGTAGTATAGCTAAATGAAATAGATCTGAAAGGAGGAGGGGCTTTTGTAAGGAGCAAGAAGAATAGTGAAACTGCCCTGGGCAGTGTGGATCATATGATTTGGGAGAATGAGTAATCTTTGTAATAGGGGTACAAGAAAAAATGATATTCCTAGAAAGGTAGTCAGGTTGCAGGTAAAAAAGGAGTTAAAGAGATGTGGAAAAAAGTTTTTCAACCTTTTTAACTTCTCAATTAAGCAGACACCTCAAGTAGTAGTAGAGCATGACGGTAGCAACCATGTTCTTTGTTTAGGGCTCCAAATGGAGTCAAAAGTCACTGGTGGACAGAAAAAGATGCTGGATTTCACTAATGATTAAAGAAACACAAATTAAAACGATATAAAATTTATCACCTATCACATTGGCAAAAAGCAAAAAGATTGATTTAACCATTGCTGCCAAAATGGAAAAATAGGCACTTTTGGCAGGAATGGAAACTGGTACTACCTATTTGGAGGGCAATTTGGCCACATCTATTAAAATTTGAAACATTCATACTCTTTGACTCCGAAAATTCATTTCTATAAAGATATATGTTTAAAGGTATTTGATGCAGCAATATCTGCATTAGTGAAAAATTAGGAACAACTAAATTTTCTATCAACAGGGGACGAAGGTAAATTACCACAATGGAATATAACATAGTTGCTGAAAAGAATGATGTAGGACTGACTGAACTATCTTTAAAAATGCTCATTAAACAGTAAGTACAAAAAGTCAATTAAAAAACAGTATGGGCCGGGCGTGGTGGCTTACGCCTATAATCCCAGCACTTTGGGAGGCCGAGGCGGGCGGATCACCTGAGGTCAGGAGTTCGAGACGGGCCTGGCCAACATGGCGAAACCCCATCTCTACTAAAAACCCAAAAATTAGGCAGGCATGGTGGCATGCTCCTGTAATCCCAGCTACTTGGGAGGCTGAGGCAACAGAATCCCTTGAACCTGGGAGGCAGGGGTTGCAGTGAGGCAAGATCACGCCACTGAATTCCAGTGTGGAAAACAAGAGCAAAACTCTGTCTCAAAAAGAAAAAAACAGTATGCATAGTATGAGCTCATTTTTAAAAGTATTAATATGTGTAACTCTATATGTTGAAAAACTCTAGAGCAGCAGCACTGTCCAATATGGTAGTCACTAGCCTATAGCTACTTAAATTTGAATTTGTTAAAACTAAATAAAATCATAAATTCAGTTCCTCAGTCTCACTAGCCACATTTCAAGTGCTCAATTTCCACATGTAGTGGGTACTGTATTAGATAGTACAGATACAGAACATTTCCATCATCACATAAAGTTCAAATGGACAGTGCTGACTGAGGGGCATAAACATTAAACTACCATTAGTGATGTATGTATGTTGTGGGACAAACTATGGAGAATGTTTACATTTTATGTTATATATTTCTGAAATGTTTACTTCTTTGATAATGTACATACATTGCTTTTTTATGAGAAAATAAGTAAATAAAATAAACATTTGAAAAAGAAGAGAGAGAAAAAGAAGTAACATAGTATGTTAGAGACGCAAGAAGTCCACTACAGCCAAGTTGGGGCAAGATTGTGAAAGACTCTGAATGTCAAGCTTACGGGGTCTTACTGGCAATAGAATTGATAACCAATGGAGGATTTTGAGTTTAAAGTGACATGATCACACATGTTCAAGAAAAATAACTTTAGTAGCAATTTGGTTGCCAAACTAGAGAGTGAATACTAGAGACAAGTAAAACAGTTAAGAAGTTTTTATACTGTGGGCAATGAATGGTGGCTATCTTAACTACAGAAGTAGCAGCGGAGACTGGGAAGAAAAGACAGATTTGAGAAACACTTGTTAAGCAGAACACATGGGACTTGGCAACAGCCAGATGGAGGAGAAGAGGTAGAATTTAAGGCTAACTGAGGTTCTCAAGCCGGGATACTTGATAGGTGGTAATAGAGATAGGGAACACAGAAACACTGTGTAATCCAAGCCTATCTTTTTGGTTACTCATTTTAATTCAACCAATATTTATAAGGCTGTACTGTCTCTCAAATCTCCTTCTCCTCCATCCTCACTATCTTTGGTCTAATAAATTTGGTTTCAGAAGGAACTATAGATATATTGATGTAGAATCTATGAAAAAGGAATAGTACAAAGAATTGTTAGAAGAGTGGGCTTGAAACAAGTGACAGGGTCACATAGTGAACATTAATAACAATGAAAAGTACAGGCAACAGGACTAGGAAAGCAAAAAGGTAGGATATTAGGGTTTGGATATTTAAGGCAGTTAATTATATACAATCTTCAAACCTTTTAAGCCAGAGCCTATATATAATATATATATAACATTGCCTTCAACTGAGAAAATTATAGCAGATGGATGAAAAGTCAATATCACCTTTACTTTTACCAAATAATGGGGGTGGGATGAAGAGGGAGAGTTCTCATGTAGGAATATATAAAAAAAATGTTAAAATGAGAAAATATACACTGATTTTTTTTATTTTTATTTATTTATTTTTTAAGAAAACAAACCACTTAACAAAGGCTACAGAGCCTAGGGTCCCAGAGATCAGAAAATAAATAAGTCAGCATAAATACAGGGTGACAAAGCCTGACTAGGCTGCATTTAGAGGCAGATCTATACAAAGGAGTTTAAAAAAATAGGTCTTTGTACTCAGAGTTCTGAAAACTCAAAGATATATAAGCTCTGCATTTATGTCACACTCACTCTTGTATTTGATATCTTAGAATCAACATAAAAATACATCACAGAATAACTGAACTAGAGATCAATTATTATCAATTATCAATTAGAGATCACCTAAGAGTTTTTAATGTGAGGTTCAGGGGTCTGTGGACCCCCTGAAATTAAGGTTCATTTTCTGTACGCATCATCATATGTTCATTTTTCCAGTGGAGGAGAGAGCTAATCATATTCCTAAAGAATTCTGCGGCTGCCCGAAAGTTACATCATTAGACTTTTGTTCAAAGATGAGACAGAGAGAAGAAAAGAGACTTGCCCAAGGGCACACAGTAAATCAGTGGCAGAGCTGAATCTAGAAACTACGTTTCTTTTTAATATTTTTTCCACCATGGCACACTACTACTTCAACATATCACATAATTAAAGTCAGTGCAAATTTTAAAAGTCCTGATTATTACCTTTGTAATGAAAATTCCAGCATCCATAATAGCTTTAATGTGTCTTAACCACCCTGAGCTCTCCAGGCCGCTAAGAAATTCACTCATTGTTGGAGTTTTCAATTCACAAACTAAGGTAGAAAAGGAAGCAGAGATTGAAATTCACAATCAACTCAATTTATTAATTAAGAAAGGGGAGAAAGTGGATCTTCATATTGTAAGTGAGGAAGCTGAGGCAGAAAGGTTAAATGAGTAGTTAGAAACCACACAATGAGTTAGGGACAGAACTGGGTCTAAAGCCTACCAGATCTCCTAGCCTGGCCTCTGCTTTATCATGCTATAGAACCCACTCTCAAGCCCTTAGAAATCTCTCAAGAAGACAGCCAGAAGATTGAGTTAGCATCTACAGGAAAACACATCTCCTCTGATTAGAAAACATATTTGATCCCTATCCTAATCCCACCCACCTATACTAACTCTGAAGGCCCTCAGCTTCTGTCTCTACTCCCACACCCCCATCTACTCCCTGTAGCCCTGTTCTGTCAACAGGTTGAAAAAAATTACCAGTTAACTTTTATGCACCTTGCAATGATTATCCAGCAGAGGTAAATCTTTTACCTTAAAAACCTATAAAGCAAAGTCCTCTTCCATAAAATATTCTGGGGCAAAAAAAAAAAAAAAAAAAAAAAAGAGACCTAAGGAAGAGGGACACTAATATTTTAAAAGAGATGCAGACTAAGCAGATGAGATCTGGCAATGATGGTGTAAAGGAGACGTCCTGGCAGACTACACCAGTACAAAATTGAAGAAAGGAGAGGAAGAATGGGGAGTTCACTAAAGAAGGCAGGTTTTCACCATCTCTGCCTGAGTTGGCATACCACATTGTGGAATCCTGGGTAGTAGTTTTAGAAGAAATGCTCTCTATATCCAAGAGTCTTGTAAGGCCCCAATCCCACCTTGCCCCCTTTCTGACCCTAATCATTTTGTAGTCAATAACAGATCACCAAAACTGTCTGATATCAACTTTATTCCTTTGAAGTCTAAATTCAACTTCATCAGCACAGTGATAAAATCAGACTAAATCCTGATAGCAAATTAAATAAGGTAATTTCTTACCTTGAGGATGATAAAATGAATCCCAATTTATAAAATACTTATGTTGGTTTGCCTATCCCTGAAAATCAACCTCAGTAATTCCATAGAGAGAAATAATTTTCATACCAACTAGACCCAGATGAACTTTATTGAATTACAAAACTGAACATCATAGTCCCTTTTCCAGACCAACACTGCTGCAATTTAGTACTATGTAAGCTAGATTCGTACTATAGTCAAACACTTAGCCACTTATTGACACTGCTCACCTGCTTGCTTTTATATTTCACCCCAAATCAGGCATGCTTTCTGCTTACATAATAATGCAAAGCTATGGCCTCTTGCCTAGCCAAGGTGAAATCTCTGTACCTTCCAAAAGTTTCTGCAGACTGTTCCGCATCACATGGATGTTCTCAATGCCCATGAATCTGAAGCGAATGTTGGCATAGTTGTCTTCATTTTCATACCCTTTCCCAGCTGCTCGGTTGGCCATGGCATTCAACTGCAATAGTGGAAGATATAATAGAACGGATAGGCCAGATGAAAGAATGGAGTTCCTCAATTTCAATGTCTCATTCAGAACACTTTAAAACCCTACCCAATTAAAAAGAAGTTAAATCAGACAAGATACATTCTGGAATGGAGAGAATTTCACTAGTTTTTACATCAAGTACCCTTAGTAACAGACTCATATGAGGGAAAAATAAGGAGATACAGAGTTTTGTTTCATTATGAAAACCTTGCTTAAGAGATAAAGGACATGGCAGCTATGAGTATATCTGATCTGAAAAACTGAAATAATAATTTTGGGCTTCCTACCACAAATGTTTTCTCAGCTGAAAGGGTTTTATACTGAGAAACATGCAAAAGTTCTAAAATATTTACCACTGAGAAGCTCTAGAAAGAAGCCTAAGGACTTTAGGACCAATTAATTTCATTTATTTAAGAGACAGAGATTCACTCTGTCATTAAGGCTGGAGTGCAGCAGCACAATCACAGAGTTAACTGCAGCCTCGAACTCCTGGGCTCAAGCAATCCTTCTGCCTCAGCCTCCTGAACATCTAAGACTACAGGCATGCATCACCACACCTAATTTAAAACAAAACAAAACAAACAAAAAACTTTCTTTTGTAAAGATGAAGTCTCGCTGTTCCCAGGCTGGCCTTGAACTCCTGGACTCATGTAATCCTCTTGCCTTGGCCTCACAAAGTGCTGGGATTATAGCCATAAGCCACCACATACAGCCCAATTAGTTTTAAATAGCTATTCTAGAAAAATGCCTAAAATGTGACTGCATGAGATAAATGACATTTACTCACTGACAAAATTGAAATGGAGACACCACCAGTTATTTTAATACTATGTTCAGCTTTGGGAATCAGAGAATCTCTAGGTCATATGAAGAATGCTGGGTGGAGTAGGGAGTAAATGAGACTTGTGGAGATATGAATATAATAACTAGAAGGGAGCCAATGATAATGACTATGGTAATGTCTATGATAATGACCATCTTACTAATTAAGTGATTTTCTGTTATCTGGGCCTATTTTCTCATCTCCCAATATTGTGCATTTCAGAAGGCAGGAAGCACATGTATGCGGACAGGGTATAATTTTTGTATTAAAAGAATACAAAAACCTCAAAGTGCAAACTATTCAAGTTAGAAGATGCAGAAGGAAAAAAGTCAATGTGCTAAACATGCTACATTTATAATACAAGACATTTGTTAAAGGGGGAAATGTGATGGTAATTTTGATCTTTTATCACATTGATAGTCTCACTGAGCTTTCACTAAATTAATGATAAAAGTCAAAGGAACACCTGTGGAAGCATAAGTAACAGCCACCCTAGCAGCAAGGAAGTTTGCTATGAGTTATCATTCAGCAAAAAAAAAAAAAAAAAAAAAAACAGGCTCAGAGACATGAACCAATTTGCCCAAGATGATATGGATAAGAGCTGAAAGGTCTTTTTTATTCCCTGGGACCAAGATTTAAACTGCACTGTACTAAACTAGAAAAAAAAAAATCAGCTAACAGTGCTAGATGCTAAAAAAGAATTACTGCCGCATGAGTTAAAGATTTTTTGTTAATAGTATAGCAGTAAAATTTGTAAATCCTGCTGCTTTG